GATTGGAAAGTTCCGTCCTTAGCTGCGCCTGCAAAAAGGAGGAAGAAAAGTTGGTCAGCATGACAAGAGAAGCAAATTCAATATTTGGGGGAGGGGGGGGGGGCTGCGGAATTAGACTCAACATCTGGGACTTAAAACGAGAATCAAAACCCCATCCCCAGACAAAATGTGCATGCGTCTTCAGCACAGCGTTGCTGGGCGTTATAACCCAGCTTAGGCGATCGGAACTCTGCTAAAGCAGATTAGCGCTCGAGATGCAAAAAAACAATGTAGGTTGGAAGGCGGTACACTAAAAGACGTTAGACTAACAGAACGAAGTACGAGATGGATAACGGTAGAAGACCATAGAAGCGGCATTCGCCAGGATATGCTTATCGTGAGTTAGACAATTGAAATAGTAATCGCGGATTTGAATCAGTGGAGATTGGAGGATCTAGTAAAGAAGCGGTGCGAACACCTCGAAGTAGCATGACCACTCCAAGCACCTTCTGAACTCCAATGCATAACCCGTCACGCCCTCGCTTTCCTCATTAGCAGAGTTTTATCCCTTTCTAATATACGCACTGTCATATGACCCCCTTTGAGAGAGACATCGCCAATGCAGGAAGGGGACTGGATAAAAATAAGACACCCGGAGAGGACTATATTCCTACCGAAAGCTACAAATCGGTACATTTTTCGTCGTTCGCCTCATGAGCTCAGCGTTGCTGCCCCCCTGGGGGCGTCGAGGAGGGGGTAAACTCAAAAGCCGGCTTGAAACAATTTGTCCTCCCTATATGAACTCGAATATTCTCGATATCGGCCGAGAGAACGGCAAGCTCAACACACGACCTGGCCAGACTGGCTTCTCACACTCTGTGGAAGTCCTTATTCAGTTCTGGATGTACTCGGGAGTAATTGGCTCTCACAGACACAATGGACATCCGGAGGGGACGAGCAGTGGGTTTAAAAAACTTGGGCCGGACGCCATTTTAGTAGAAAGGAAGGAAAAAAGTGCGATGAAGAAGAAAAAGCAAGGAAGAAGAGGAGGGGGGAGGAAAGAAGAGAGACACGTGCGCGAACAGCAGGCGTCCCCTGCATGACAGAAGCCACTAAATAACATGCGCGAAAATTGATGATTCATTACGATTAAAAACAGAAGGAGTCTTCCAAACTGACCCTTGACCTCACAGAAGCAGCCAGATGCGATGTCAGTGTAGCTAGCTTGGCCTTCAATTTAGTGTTGCCCTCCTCTCCCAAGGCAACGCCTTCGGTGCAAGTGACACGATCAGCTCTACGAACTGCTTCCTCAGCCTCCAACCGCGAGCGAAGAGTCGAAAGCACACCCTGGACATCCGTTAGCTTCTGGAGAGAAACAGAATCAATGCGGGCGCCAATGGTAGCATCAGCAGCAGCAGTAACGTCCAGAGATAAAGAGTACGCCTGTCCCGCCTTTGCAACATCCGCGGAGAGGGTTCCATGCTGTCCTTTAGGATCATCCTCTTCTACGTCTAAGAGCTGACAAAACAGACAGGGAGAGGCATTGATTACTCAGTAGAAACAGCAAAACCATCAGTACAGAAAAAGTTGACTATAGGAAAATAATTTAATACAAGGAGAGGTTACCGCGCTGAGTGTACACTGCTGCAACATAATCGGGTAGATGACTACTTGCCACGTCCTACAAGGGCTGTTCATGAACTCAAAAATTTCACGCACGAGCAGCGCCTGACGGCCTTGAACCTCTATTCACTCCACTACAGGCAGGATAGAGGTGACATCGTAGAAACGTTTCAGTTGTTAAGAGGGCTTCATCTGTATGTCTATTGGGAAACTCTTTTCGAAATGGCACCAAAGACTAATTTCAGGCGACAGGATTACTAGCTTACAAAAGAACTGTGCCACGCAAATCAACGTTCCTCCTTTTTCTCGCAGAGAGTTATTTACCAGTGGAATTCCTTGTCAACGTATTTTGTTAACTTCCCTACCGTGTGTTGAAGAGAGATCTGGATAATCGTCTGTCAATAGACAAACCAAGCTCCTAAATTCGGCGGATTATTTAAATACTTATCAACATGCTACTTACATAAATTCAACAGACCCTTATGCGCCCATTAACATTGACCCGGATGAAAATTTCCAGTGCTAATGAGTGGAGGATTATTTTCGCTGTTATTTCGCAAATGCCACACCTTCACATTTATGTCTCACCATTAGATTTATGCATTCTGCACACTAAAACTAGATGCAAAATTTTTGCAATTTTAATATTTCCCTTCACGTCTGAACCGTTTAGGTGGAGTTTTAAGGGCTTCTGTCATTTACTCCAAATATGACAGTTCGACCATCGATTTCGATGATGTCCACCGTATGCCCCACAGCAGGTGGGAGCAGGGACGGTGACTTGCGCAGGGGTTTATAGTGCCAGTAAACTTGCGCTGCATCTACCTACACTCTCTCCACCTCCCTCGCCCGAGCCCGGTGTCAAGACAGAGTCAAGAAGACCGGAGACGAGGGAGGCCGCAGGTGGATGGCTCGGACGGATCCTCACCTTGGCGTTCCACCACACCCCCTGGTCCACACAACAAATAACCAGGATTTCAACCAACACAACAGAGATTTGGAGGCTGGCACGGCCGAAGCCGCACCTAGGCGTGCCGCCAACGCCTGGCTCGGATCCCACGCTGTGGTGGGAATGCCATAAAGGCCACATTAAAAAGGAGCCATTGCTGCCTGACTCTCAGACCGCCTCCCGTTAAGGAGGAGGTCCAAGGTACCCCGTCAGTTGGCAACCTTCCAAGCCACGGCTTTTAGCGCACCGTGATAGCTTCAAGCGCGTCAGATTGATTATAGTGAGGAAAAAGTGCGCTGAGTCGTCGACCTCACTCTCCCTTCCCATCCCCACACCTCAGCCGCTGTCCGAGCCGGTCAGCAGACTGGAGGGGGAAATGGGCGCGGTGGCTGACACGGTCGACTGACCGTGACTGCGTGCGCCACAGCACGACCTGCCCCCCCCCCATACACACACAAACACCAGGATTTCACACAACGTGGGTTGAACGGCGTGTCTCTCACTTGCGCGAGAGGGCCGTGGAAGGTGCTGTTTCAGCTCGCTGCCCAGCCCACCAGTCCGCCACTCCACACAGCACACACACACAACGCGACGAACTGCGTGAACCGAGAGCGGGCGTCAATCAGCAACCTTCCTATCCACGACGCTTGCCGTGTCGGGATAGGCTCGGACTCAAGTGACCCCTGCAGCTGAAGCCGCATGAGGACCGAGTCGAGATGCGCACTTCCCACTTGCGTGGGAGGTGACAGTTGGGTGCATGAGGTGTGGTGGGGTGATGGTGGTGGTGGTAGGGAGTGAGTGAGTGAATGTGTGGTTTGGCCGGCGGTTGTCTACCGCAGGTCGTCGTGGATGCGCATGTGGCCGAATAGGCCCATGCGATGCCTGAAGGTGTGAGGGCAGTGTGGGCAGTTGAGACGAGCTTGGTGAGTATAGGTTGGTGCTCCAGGCACTGGTTCTCCAGTCTCTGTGCGATGGATTCGCGAGTGACCGACCAGGCCGATGCGTGAGATGAATGTGCGTGGACAGTGTGAGCATGAGAAATCGGCGGTGTCAGTGTCACCTACAGAGGAGGTGGTGGTGGTGGCGCGGACGGGTGGAGTGGGCGTGGGGTTTTGCACGGTGGATGCGTCGGATGTGGTCGCTACTGACTGCCAAAGAGCACTGCCTCCTTGATGTGATCTTGGTATTAAATCCCATGGACGCCATTGGTGGCAGCAACCACTCTTCTATTTTAGCTGCATTGCAGATAGCCTATCGTGGCGCTGGACAACAGGGGTCCTTTAAAATAAGTGGGCAGTGGGTATAAATGGTGAACTAGGTCCGAGGTGTAAAAAGTTGAGCCAAGAGTGAGAGCGAAAACAAATCGCGTAACGTACGTGGGGGTTTACAGAAACGGCCAGGTCACTCGACAATCTTCCAGGGTCAGTACACGTGGCTTGCAGCCCAACTTCCTTGACACATACACCGTAGTCATCAGCAGTACAGGTAGCTGTGTCTTGCCGGTCGACAAACAGCCTGACTCTCAGGTCTTGAAGTTCACTCTGAAGTTGAGCGAGACGATCGACAGCAATCACATCAAAACCGATCTCCGACGGAAGCGTGGACGTGCTACGGTTGGTTAACGTCTTCTTTTGCTTGGATATGGCCTCGTTGGTCTCAAGTAAGACCTTCTTCAAACTTCTGTTCGCGTCCGAAAGAGCCTGTTTTAATTGAAGTAAGAGGAGAAACAAGCGCCAAGGTTTTGCATTCGCCGAAAGCAAGGGGGAAATATTGGTTTTTGGACTTGCCTAGCAGTAAGCCAGTCTACGGGTGTCATCAAACGGTTAATTTCCTCGTATTATTGAAACCGGTCTCACAGAAATCAATCGAGGTCGGGAAGTAACAGTGACACGCCCTATATGCCATCAAGGCCGCTGCCGGAGTGAGGCCGCGGCGTTTCGCTCAGCTGCAAGATGTGCTTAGATGCGGTAGATCACAAAACTAGTTCCCAAGCTAACATAAACTAGTCTTCAAAGAAATGGTCGCTGATCTTGCATGGATGGGAGTTGCTACAATGATCACAGCAAGGAGACATTACGGCCTGACCCTCAGTAATGAGGAGGACAGAGTAGTTCCGTCAGTTGGCTACCTTCTAGGAGACGTTTAATGCGTCTTGGTATTTTTAACACTCACTATTGTTTATAGTGAAAAAAGCAGGCACTGGGATCGGCCTCATCCCTTCTTCCCCATTCCCCTGCAATAACGGTCAGTCCGAGTAAGGCCGCCTGGGTACAAGGGTGGGAAGACCGGAATAGCCATTTCTGGCTTCTTAGCCATCATCAGCCGGTCATACCCAACCCTATGTGTGGATCAATTGGGATTCGGACCTAGGATCTTTGGTCATAGAGTTTGACACTACCATTGAGCCACGGGCCCGTTGTCCTGTCGGCTGTAATCGGGAATATCAAGTGGGAAGAGCCAGTGTCTGGTGCTTGTCACACGCACACGCGACTACAGACAAGGACTTTTGTCGGCTCAGAGCAGCTCGAGTGACGCGGGCAGGATTTAACATGATCCCCGTTTTAGTATACTGTTACAGCTGTGTAGTCAGTTTGTCAGAATTAATCTAACCCTCCCAGGGCACACTGCACACCGCATGAAGGAGATATAAGCCCTAAGTGGTTGGTAATTGACTTTTTATTGCGGTGACAACACAGCACAGTGACCCGACCATATCGGTCACGGGTGGTAATAAAGGACAAACTACTGAAAAGATGACGCGTTAACAAACTGTTGAAAATGAAGTTGTGATTGCGGTAATGAACACTGCCAGGAGTGCGGAAACATCTCGAATAGTCACACGACAGTTGCTTGCACCGGAGTATTTTGATTGTGGAACGGAACAGGACTTTTCCATTCCGCCTTAAGACAGTAGTATAACGGACTACCGGTCAATGCTCGACTTTTACTGGCCAATAGGGATATCGAAGAAGTCGGTTTCGATAGATTGCCGGTCACATGGGTTATATACCGTCAAATTCCCGGCAAAGCGGAAATGCTCATTTCTCACCTGAAATCAGGACAGATAGATGCACGCCGCTCTCATGCGCCTAAATACCCCCAATCTCCGCCGACATGGGGAGAGTTCTTCGTGCAGTGGTGAGGACCTTTCTGGACGATAAAACGACTCGATTTTAAACCTTAGGTGGCAGCCTGCAACCACGCGTGCTGTTAAGATCTTCGTTGTCAAGCCCCTTGCTCTATACACTTTCAATCGGAGAAAAGGGACCCTCGACTGTTATTCGCTACGCGGCTGCCTACGACCCTTACCCCCAAGGCCAAGGAGCTGTCCTGCAGCCAGAACAGATCGATGCAAATTGCCAACTGGCGAACCGAACAACGTCTACTTAGATGAATGCAGTAGAGTCTTGCATAGAAAACCTACTCCACTATATACAATATTCTTATCCGGACCGGTACAGGCCACTAACATATGGCTAAATTCTTCTGATCTTAGCCGACATGAAGCGAGACGTGGGTGTAGTAGGAAATGCATTAATGGATGATCAACTATTGTGGTTTTAGAGTTATCGATGTGCAGCCTACAGTTGAGATATTACTAGCTGATGACGCGAATAAGCCAAAAATCGCAATTCCAGTGTCCTCTTGTTTGTCGCCCACATTTCTAATGCTCTAGAGTTCACTTTAATGCAGCAGAACCACGACAAACAGTAAAGTCGTGGTACTGTCGTCAAGTTATCCATCGCCGCGAAGAGCAGGTACTGATGTTTTAGGTTCGGACAAAACTCCGCTTACATGTCCTATGCCTGGCCTTCTTGGATACTTTACTATGAATGTCTTCGTCTCGAGATAACACAAAGATTAGAGCAATGCTGGAGAGTACGTACACTAGCTTTTTGTACACACGAGGCGGGAATAAGACGGAACGCAACGTTGTAACAGAAGGTTGTTTTAAACGGTAATTTTCGTTCTCGCCTGCCCTTTTTAGAATCCGCGATCAAATGAACACGAATCGACGCTCCCCACCGCGACGTTCTGCTAAGTTTTCGTTTTCGTCTATTATCCTTCGATCTGATTATTTTGGTATTTCTATTCATACATATCGTATCGCGACAGCTAGTTTACGTAAAGAAACGTTTTTCCGCATTATCCATTTGACTTTCGTACATTTTGCCGAATTGTTAACATTTGCATATCCAGTTGCGTACTATCAGAGTTAGACCCACCCGACTTCTATTTTCTCCTCTATCTGGTTGCGTTTCCATAATAAACTATTGCCTATCTGTCCGTGTATCTATTATTATGTCTACACCACCCTTGTCACTTTCTAGTGTGTACGAAGACGTAACAAAACCTTTAGAAGAAATATCTTTAGCATCTGAACCCCTGGAGCCAAAACCCCTTGTCCCCCGTATTTGACGACTACAAAACTTCGACACGCCCTTCCCTACTCGGCAGCTACAACGTTGGCAAAGCATGGCTCAAAGGACACAAGAGTGGCGGGAAAAAGGCACGGATGAAAGAAAAAGCACACGAACCTGGGTTTCCTCGCGAAGGTTTATGACCTCGGCAGATTTTTTGGCCTGTAGGAAAGATTACGGGAGACATTTGACTGAATTATGGTAAGCTCGAAGACGCACATCAGATGCATTGGTTGAGTTAACCAAGAAGGACTAATTCTACAGAATATATTGACAAAGCTGGGAAAAGGCAAAATGGTAGAAAGGTGCGGCTGAACCTCCTTACAGAGGACTTAATTGTGTCAGCATTGAAGTTCATTAATGAAATTTCAGGCCAGCACGAAAGCCACAGGCTTACACGTAAGCTGTGTAGTTCATTTGCGATCGTGCCAGAAAACCAAAAAACAATAATCAAAAGTCCCTGTTACTTGTCGAGGGACGGAGTGTGAGTGAGTGTGCTGCTTACCAACTCATTTTGTGCGGAGGCAAGTTCCGTAGCCAGGGTATTCAACTTGTCTTTCATTGTAAGCAACTCGGTCGTCTCTATCAGAACGGCAGCCATGCCATCGTCAGTAGTGCAGGTGGCAGCATCGACGACCTCAAATTTGGCCATACGGGAGCCAAGTACTCGAAGTTCATGGTCAAAATCGTCAATCGCAGCGACGGGAGACTCCGAGTCCGCACACTCCAAGGACGTGTTGGTGCCTTGCTCTGTCAGTTGATTCGGAGCAACTGATTCGAGTTTCGAGAAGGTTGAGATGCCGGGCACTGAGGACCTTGTTAAAGGCGTCTGTCCTTCAGTTTGCGTTTCCTGCTTTAGGTGGCAGAACACGACTTGAGAATTAGGTTTTGATGCGGTCAAAAGTGATATATTAAACAGGCACGAGAAATTATCTGACGAAGGATCGGAGGCGATAATCATATACATGTGGTTATCGGAATTCTGACCCTCAGTCGGGTAAACCCTGATAATTAAAGATCCAGGCGGATAATTCCGGGTCATCCTGTTTGGAAAATTTCCTTACGGCAACGGCAGAAAGTCAGTTCCTTTAAAACGGATCGTTCGCGCTGCGTTACTTCGGATACTCGGTCCATACGTTCTTTCTACAGATCATAAATTAATGATGTCGAAAAGGTCAGTAAAACAGACACCTTCCGCAAAGACGGAAGCCGCTATTTATTTAGTGAGCCTATTAAAGGCAGAATACAAAAGGGCAGGATGAAAACATCTGGTTTGGTGTTGTCCAATCAGAAAGAGTTTTGCGCTGTAAGCTGAGAAAAGTAATGATGAATTTAGTCTTGAAAGTATGGTCTAGACAAACCTACTAATGTCTCTTGACTTGTGCGTGATAGGGGTGGGAGAAACAAAGAAACAGAAGCTCCCAGTGAATCAGATAAGTTCTGTTCACAACAGTGCTCAGGAGGTGCGCAATTCTCTGGCTTAGACAGACTGCTTGGAAGTACAGATACTTACGTTCACAGAGGCGGCACCGATCGGCTTAGCTTCCATCCTGAGCACTCGGTGGTGAGTCGGGTGCAGCCCACTCGTGATTTTGGGGTCCGGATAGGCATCATCGACGAGGGTCTTGACAAAAGAGTTATCGTCGATGGCCAGAGCAGTCCCACGGTCGTCACCTACACTTCCCCAAGTGGCATCCTGGCCATCGGGGGCCCAGCGGTCGCGAAGAAAAGTGGACGTCGTAGGGCTTTTTTCCTCATCAGCACTTGCCGAATTCAGGGGCGGAGGTAACCTGGAGAGGGGTTGTAATCCAAAAAGAGGAAAGATACCAAGTAGAAATAGTCTATCGTTACTGGACGTTCCTGCAGCTGCTAGGTTTGAACTCTTGGACATCGGTTCAGAAAGCAACTCGGTCAGGAAATAGTACTGACAGCAGAAGAGGGCCCTATGAATTCACCTATCTGTGGCCTCGTTGCAAAAATTGAAAGCTATTGGTCTTCTTTTAATTTACTTTAAGTTGTGTGTGCCTTATAATATACTTGTTGTCGTTAACAGTATCAACTAGGACCGCCCCACAACGTTAGCTCAAAATCCTCCAACTATTGATCTGACATTCTAATAGGAAAACGACAGAAGACTCCCATTTCTAAATACTCTCATGCAGAGGAAGATTGGTGAAAAATTGCAATACTTCATCTGCTACAGCTGTTTGCTTCTCATTTATTAGGAAAAAGTTGCGAAGTTCTCAACTAGAGTTTCACAATTCCTTGTTAAATGATAGTTGGTGGGGTAGTCATTCAAAAATTCGTTGTTAGGGGCATCCATTAAGGGTAAAATCGGTAGCATAGAAACATCAATTAACTAAACTTTACAAATTTATGGCCCCTCGTGATATTATGCTGTCTGTTCCAGTGTGGTTCTACAATATCTTCCGACAACAGTCTTTTTCCCACAGGAAGCCAGAACATTATGAAATAATGAAATATGCGAAAATTTCCGAAAATACCCTAGTGCCAGTTCCTTGTCATGTTTACGGATTACTGGCCAATGGAAGCCCAATAGTAAAATTCAGCAACAGCTTACGATAAGGTCTCCTGTAAAGGGGAGGAGAGTTCAAATTAACAAAGGGCTAAAGTCGTGCATTCGCAAGAAATGACGAAGCAACCTATGAAATAATTCTGAACGGACATCGTGGATAAGGTCGCCAGCAGTACCAAAGGTACTATCTTTAGAAACACACTGCAAATTTTCCGTTAAAGATTATCAGATGTGAGACATTAGTTAGGGGAGTAACAGGTGGAAGGAGGGACATGAACTCACATTTCAGACCTCGACAGTTGAGGCGGCGATGCATTCAGGGCCTTCAGAGGAGTCTTGATGGCATCTACGGGAATTCCGGAAGACTGAAAGGGCAGTGGAGGTGGCGGTACGCCAAACTTGGATCCAACAAGCTGTTCAACGACCCTCTGATTTTCAGATCTTAGTTTAGCTGACTCAATAGTTCGACGAGTGAGTTCACTAAATGCAATCGTGAGAAATGCAAAACAAAGTTGGTTGATGAAGAACTCGGAGAGAACACTACGGCGAAAGGAGAATTCGGTTTCAACGTTGCTATCGTTAAAGGAAACAAAACTAAAACGCTTTGATGCTGGTTTGACGTTCCGAGTTCCCAGACTAAACGCATTCAAATACGTCAGCGGCCGTATACAGTTTGTCCCACAATTATAAGGCCACCAGTTTTTGGTTAAAACGTTCCACTTTTTGCGAACGAATGGCTGTCACTCAAACCGTGGGGCCGCAGGTTGAATTTTATAGAGTACATAGCATCCGTTTCATCACAGAACATCAATACGTTTTCCCATGTTATTAATCAAGTTCTCAAGTTCTGATTCACTCAGATACACTCTATCTTTGCTGAATAGCCTTCCTCATTTGATGTCTCGACAGGTAAGTTCAACTGTTACAGCATGGCTAATGGCCCGCACAGATTTTCAAATGGGTTAAGATCGCAGCTCAACAATGGCCAAGTTATTGTATTAGTTTGTTTCTTAGTTGCTGTATCGGCCTCTAGGCAGTGTGTTTTGCTGGAATACCAAATATTCATCTTTTACCGACTTGAAAAGCAGCATCCGAGCAGAAGGAGTCTGAATGCATGACCGAGCACTCTGCTTTTCTTGTAAAAACACCAATTCGAACTTCTCGTGAGAAACCATAACTATCCAGACAGCCACATTGCCACTTGTACATGATCCTCCACCGCGTTTATTGGGCTCTTTGCGATGGTTGTTCCAGTAAGTTTTAACAGTCCGGGCCATTCAAATTGAAGTTACTTTCTTAGACGACTCTGTGCCACTGATCAGTCTGGGTAATATGATACCCAGTCCAATGCACTCGTTGTCCCCCGTGGTATGCTGCTTGCGGTATTCCTTGAAATTACCCACAGGTGAACCTCAATAAACGCTTTATGGTCCTGGAGATGGTACTCTTCGAAAACTCCAGGGCTAAATCCCGCTTGATGGTGCGTACACCAATGCCTCACGCAGATACCCCCCTACGGGTTATTTTTTCTCGCCGTCCTCTTCATTGTCGTTTTCGATCATTTAAGGCGTCGTGTGGTCATTCTACTGTTGAAACCCATTACACACAGTTGAAATCTTGTTTCGTTCAATAGTCTTTACCTGTACCCAGATACGCATTCGTAAAAGGCGAAGTATAACTGCAATTCGTTGATCATTGGAATAAACCAGTTTGTGAGTGCTATTCATCAGCTTTTCGCAACATTTACGATGCGTAATTGCCACAACCAGAAGAAAGATCGTGAGTTCTGATACCTCCGAAACTAGTTTGTGGGGAATAGCTATTCGAAGGCGTTTGTAAGTCGATGACCACATGTTCTCTACCAGAAAAACCGCTGATGATACGGCATACTCTGCATACACAGAGGACGTTCCAAAGAGGATGTTGGGAATGACCAACCGGCCCAAAGCTACCATGTGCAGCAAGATAATGAAAATCAGACCGATTAAATCCGAGGGATCAGCCAGACGTGATGTATTGTATCCCGTCAATAGGAGTGAAAATCCGATTCCCAGGTGGCATATCAAAAGAATAGTGGGCGTTCACCGGGAGGGGTTTATTTGAGATCCGACGTTTCGGGTAGTTTACTCGTCTACCCATCTTCAGGGAAAGATCCGATCCCTAAGCAGGAGATGTCGGCCGTTGTCTACCGACTTCAATGAAGGTGCGGAAGTTGCAACTACGTTGGGGAAACCGGCCGACGGCTGCAAACGCGAATGCACGAGCATAAGTTGGCCGTGCGAAGGTTGGACCCAAAGTCGGAGGTAGCAAACCATGCCGCGCAAATGGGACACATCTTCAACTTTGACGCCGTTGAGATTGTGGGCCAGGGCAGCGATCACACAGCAAGGCAAGTGCAAGAAGCCTGGATGTCCACCGACCGCTCTGTCAACCGCCACATCAATTTGCCTCCCCCTTATCTGACTTTACGAACCTTCTTAGCGGGGGACAGTCACGGCGCGGGACAATCGGGGCCGTCAGTCATCACCGCGGCCGACGGGGGCGATTCAGGTCACGGTGACATGCGGGTGGGATGCAGCCACACAGGCGGCATTGGCGGATCACGCATTGGACAAAGGGCGCCATAATGAGGAGTGCTGTGCACAGGACCTCCCAGCCCCTGAAGATGGGCAGACGAGTAAACTACCCGAAACGTCGGATCTCAAATAAACCCCTCCCGGTGAACGCCCACTCTTCTTTTGATTGTATCCCGTGCCTAAACAGGTCAGACTAAACGCATGGTCGGGTCGCGCATACACGAACATTAGTTGGCTGTGGGGCAGGGTGACGAATTACTGCAAGTGCCCGCCTACACCTTCGAAACGGGTCACGAGATTAACTTCGCAGCCACAAAGATAGTCGCCTGCGCTGGAAACAAGACAAGCCGATAAGCCTGGTCTCGGATGTGAACTTAGCGTCAATCGATGTGTTGATTGCCCCACTTTCGGGACTACAGGATAATTCAGGACGTAAGGGGTTGGCTGAGAGAGGATGTTAAAAAAAAGTCGCTTCCGTCATATTTTATAAACACACACACGAAAGAACGCCAAGGCGCTCAGGCGTCATTTTCTACGGTCAAGGATTCACTTGTTAGGGCAGGCTACGGATAGCAGAGGCACTCACAGCTAAACAGCTCGGGATGGGGGGTCGATGGCCCAAGCCCGCCGTGCGGTAAGCACTTACCGGCTGTTTGAACTGGCCCATCAAATAAACGCAATGATGCAGGAAAACGAAGTCAGGCGGGGTAGGAAAAGAAGACGAGAAAATAAGCCCCGAATAGAAATTCTTACTTGGATAGAAATGCGACTTCACATTCACGGGCCCGCAGAAGGGCCTTGAGATTTTTTATTTGACTGGCCAGAGGGCTGTTCGGTGTTTTCGCTAGCTTTGCCTGTTGGCGCAAACGATCGATCTCCGACATCAGTTCTGGAAAAAAAAACAAAGGAGTGAAGCAATCGGACGTTTCTCACCGAGACATCAAATGTCTGGTGGTTATAGCACGGTAGGCACTACACTCGACCTGCCATCCGGGTACTACACTGAATATCGTAACAGCTGTAGACATCAGACAGGGCAAGGGCCGAACTACTGCACCTATTTGGCTGTCCCGAAAGCTACATTACAAAGGTCCGACAACGAATACAACGCTTCCAGCGACTCCATACCTTTAGCCGACAAAAGTGGGTGTTACTCGCAGCGAACATTAAGGTTCCAGCAAGCACACTGAGGGGAACTTGTCGATTGCCTCCTGTATTCAGAGAAACTTCAGGTCGCCGGATCTATTGAATTATCTGCCACGATAATGAAATTCGTGGTCTTTGACCTGTCTACCAGGTCTCTTCACTAGGGCAATGTTGCTCTTTATGCAGTTTTTCATTCAGTTGGTGAATTCTTCGGTCAGCGGAGAGCAATTGTCTGATACATCCTATGCAAAAGGATGGGACCTGCAACATCCCGCTGTCTTCGTAGCAAATTATTTCGGTTCTAAGCCGTGGTTATTTCGCCGACCGCAGTTTATGTTTTTCCTGATTAACCTCAATGGTCTACCTAATTGATGCTATTTAAACGTCACCCTAAACTGGCAGCGATATGTCGGAAGCTTTTCTACTGATGCAGCTGTACACCAGATGTGCTGTTTCATGAAATGCAAATCGAAATTCCGGGCTGTGTTTTTGATTCGAAAAGATCACTTAGGCAGGGCTCCAAAATTAACTACTGTTCAGCATAAGCACAAGAAATTTCGGTTACGTCACTATTCTGCCTTTTGAGCAGGCTTCTTTCCGGCAACTTGGGGAAATTACACTGCAAAAAATGACTGCTTAAGTAGCATGAATGTTTCCAGGTGATTTTCTATGTTCTTCTAAATTCAACTGCACTTTATGGAAGACATGCGTGTAAAAGTACTCTTTCTTTTGCTCATTTCACGACACATTAGGCGTTCTATAAATTTCATACTTAAAGGAAATAATTCAGTTTCAAAAGTTTCTAATCATGAGATTTTTAAAAAAGCACATGCTCTACATTCATTGTAAAATTGTGGGTCCAATATTACGCTTTATTAATGGCTTATAGAAATGTATGATTTTCCTTAAATGGAAAATAGACATCTTGCAGTTTGGAAACCATGACTGCAAATATAACCGCAGGAACTGTAGGTTCCTTAAGACCGAAAAATACCCTTTTCTCAAGCATGAAATTTGAAGATGACTGTGAAATACAGAAAATACTGTTTGTAGATATCTTCAACAAAATATATTCGAATTTATAGGGACACCGAAAGACAGTGGGCAAAATTCACACTGCCTAAGCAGTCACTTTTGGATGCGGCCGGAAAGAAGCTCATGCAAAGCCCGACATGACTCCAGTGTCTTGGGATTATGCTGCATGGTAAATTAATACTACAACCCTACTCAAGTGACCACGTCAGGGGGGGGGAGGGGAGGGTTGACTAAGGGTAACAAAAATAAACGAAACAGGCAGAATGTTACTACCGACAAAGACCAGGGAGACTGGAATGGCCATTTTAGTCATTCCAGTCTCCCTTGTCTTTGTCGGTAATAACATACTGCCTGTTTCGTTTATTTCTGTTACCCTTAGTCGACCCTTCTCCCATCCTCCCCCCTGATCCACGGACTCGTTATCCGGTCGGTTGAAAGAGGACCACGAGCCCGTGGCTCAGCGATTAGAGGCGTTGGACTTCTAACTGACAGGTCGCGAGTTCGAGCCTCAGGTGTTCCACACTTCGGGGTTGGGTACGACTGGCTGACGACGGCTGATAAGCCAGAAATGGCCATTCTAGTCTCCCTTGTCTTTCTCGGTAATAACATTCTGCCTATAACAGGCGCCGCAGTGCGGCTGCTGGCTGGGCTCGAGAGAGAGAGAGAGCCCGTAAGGCACAGCGGAACGAGCGAGTGAGCGCTCCTCCACCATAAACGAAACAGTCAAATGAAAGTCCTCCGAAGGGAAACTTACCACGGATGATTTTGCCCTCAGGATCTTCATTGATGACAGCCGTGTTGACGATCGAATGAGCTCGTTTGGCGTATCTTACAGGACATTGGCGTAATGGAAAGCAAGGGTTAGATAGCGTGAAAAATATACTGAGGAAGTTATCAGACAAGAATTGGCCTGAAATCATCTGTAATACGTCATTGGCTAAGCAATCATTTTCATTGGCCGTTAGCACCGCCCTGCACTGCAGTACAAAGGCAACACAACTATGCCATTCAGAGCAGGAGTCTTGAAGGGTAGAGACGACAGTACAGGTGTAGGGCCATCTATGGGAACACAGAATATGTGCGGCCATCTTACGACTTGCGGCTAAAACAACAAACGCTCTAAACAATTCAGTTAAAACGAAATGAGATAAACTTAAAAAAACATATATGGGTATGGGAATAAGGATATGGCAGACACACCGTGGCTGGTAAATAAGCATAAACGAAAGCAATAACGTAGCGAGAAAACGTACTGTAGGGTGGAAAGCGTGTCTTCGTAATGCAGGGACGAGGGCGACAGAGTAGCCAACATCGCCGTCACGGAATTACCCCCTAGGCTCTCCTTCAGAATCCTGCACGGAAAAGACCGACGAAAAAAGGACAGCATGGTGAAAATGAATACGCAAACACTAACTAGGACGACTTCAATCTATCCAATGAAAAACGCGCCCCAAAATCCGAACAGCCGATCCTAGCCTGATAACAAGTCATCACCGACAACTAGAACACAAAAAATAAATCATACAATTGTAAAGCGCCTGACAGGCTCAGATGTTTGTCACAGAGCAGATGGAAATAAAGAACATATTATAATCACCCCACCTATCTGGCCCCAACGAATGCAGCACTACTTAATTTACTCACTATAAAGGCTTCTCAATGTCTTCTTTTAAAAACACCCGAATTTGATGTCTCTATATGGTCTGCATTAAGGGCATCTCAGTATCCAAGTCTAACCAAGCAAAATTCCAGGCCTAACGTGTTCAGACAAGCATAATAAGATTACCGGATTCTTAGCAGCATGCAGATAGTTCCTGCAGTGCTTCAAGAAACATCATCGTAACCACGCCGGTTTTCAGTAGTCTAAAAATCGGTTGGACACAAAAACTAATTCTTATCTTATTGAAAGGTGACACGCAATAAATTCCAGAGGGCTTAAAACAGTGTTAGCGTTTAAATTAGGGCATGGCAGAATGCAGTTCGTCGGAATCCAGCGCAAGGCAACCTGTAGTACGAAATGTATTCAAAAGACCAAAATCTAACCATGAACTCGAGAAAGTGGTCTATACAAAGGTAATCAACAACACACAGAGCCGTACCTATTCCAGCAACCATTATGTCATACACTAGCTGAACTGACTGACGATGCTCGCCGAAATTGACTTAGCCGGTTTCAGGTGGTCCTATAATTTAATCAGTCGGCCTTCTCAATTTCACAATCAATTTATGCTCAATAACCTTTGTTGCAATGTCAAAAATGTATCGGAGATGGTTGAGTACAATGTCAGAGGATAAGGGGATTTGTTTTAATTAAGTTTCTAATTATGAGAATTTTTAGACCGTGCAATTTCCATTCATACAGCATCGTACCTGTCGGTTGGCCAATGTTTCTCGTGAAATGCACAACATAGTTCGCATCCTTTACAAAATTTTATGAACTCGATGTGGTACCTTTTAAAGGCATAGAGGATTATATGATTTTCCTCGCGCGGAAAGCATGCACCTTGCAGATTGAAATCGTTTCGCACAAATTCAACGGCTAACCAGGCTCAAAATAAGTCGGGAACTAGGAAACTTTTTCAAAACCTAAATATGACCTTTGTTCGGGTACAAAATATGAAGACGTGATTCGCTTTAGCATGTTTTCTATAAAATATACTTGAATTTATCAGACCGTCGAAAATCAATGTGAAAAACGAACGATAAGTAGTAATTTTCATTGAGTGCGGCTTCTAGAGGTCAAAAAGAAGTGCATTCAAAGGCCGACATCCTGGCGAGTCCGAAACATCATAGCATTATGCCGCATGGTAATCAATATTACAACCCCACCTAAGTAATCCTTCCCAATCGAAAAAGAAGTTCAGAATTTCGACCAACATTTCAATAGATCGGTCACTCATTGTAGGACTACTATTTTGTCAACTCATCGTTCCGATGTACCAGCTTTAGTTCAAATACACCCAATCCAATACTTCAGTGCACGTTGGGGGTCGGGAGAGAGATTTTGTGAAGGGCGTCTTCCTGGATGGAGTTGAGTATGAAGCATGAAAGTTCATGACATTCTTCGTTTGTGAGTAACCTTCCAAAGCCATTGTATTAATTCTTCAAGCAAACGGTTGGCGAGGACAGGAAGCATTCGTACCCGGAGGTGTCAAAAATGAGATCAAATCAAAACCTTGCTCGTCACGGCTCGTAGAGACATGAGAGTGGCTCCTGGACCTCTTGCATTTGGTCTCCGCCGTTAGACAAGAGAGCAGGTCTAGCTCTCCAGAACCCCCCACCCACTGGCAAAAGATCGTTAGGCGTGGAAAAGGCCGCGACATCATCAGAACCAGCTACACCAGGCACGTTCACATCTGTACAAAGTATTCATGAAGACCTAAAGGAGCACTTACAGATGCAATGTCGGTCGAGACAGCCGCTGTCCTTCATAATTCCCTCGCAAGCGCACGTTCCTTTTCCTTGCAGAAAACCCCATTCTGGTGTCTCATCATTACTATTTGGTTAGAAAGTTTTGTACCAGTAATCACCTCAAAGGAAAGGTCCCTGAAGTTCGTCTTAAACGAATAACGTAATTCCGACACTTTTCAGATATAGAGCTTGGGGACGAAGACCCTACCGGTAATTAAGTGGTAAAAACTGCTACTTCGACGTAAAAGAAAGGAGTGGTAATGGCAACCATTTATTCACCATTATTCACAACCGAACCAACATTCTTAGTAGCCGTATCCGTATCCGTACTCCTTCTCCTCGTGGCATTCGCTGCCCTTGCACACCGTAGCGCAGTGTCCGTCCTTGCAGTCGTAGCCCTCGTACTCACCACTGTGACAGTGTTCCGAGCTGCAGCCGGAGAAGTCTACGCGACCGCTGAATTGGACGTGACCCTTGTACTGGCTCTGGCCCTTAGAGCCACCCTTCTCGAAACGTTTGCCGTAGCCCTCCTGTTCACCCCAGCTCTCAGCACTGGTCTCTGAGAAGGCATGGGATTCGTAGCAGCCCTTGGGGTGGCAGATGTAGGCGCAGCGACCGGCCTTGCAGCCATAGCCATCAAAGCCGTCCTTGTGGCAGGTCGTCTCGTAGCAGCCATCGAAGTAGATGTCGCCCCTGAAAGCGGCCTTGCCGCTGATGTGGCCTCCCTGATGGTAGGATGGGAGGTAGTGGGCCGAGGCGACTGCGATGAGAGCGCAGAGGATGACGAATTTCATCTTTCTCTGTGTGTTTGCAGGTTGTGCTGTCCGTTGGTTGGTGTGACAGGATTTCAGCGGCGATTTTATAGTCGAGGCGACGACCGAGCCGCTGCTGTAACTGCGCAGTGGAGGGCCTCGGTCGATTTTCATCAATAACCGGAAAATCGTTATTTTCCGATGCGAGTTGAGAAAATGAACCGTCGTCTATCGGTTCATCTGGCACTCCGCGAGTCTTTGAGACAGTGCAGAAATCAGTGTTTTGAAGAGTGCAGTGTGAGAACACTGCGGTCCGCATTACGGGACATGATTTGAGTTGCCACAATGGCGATTAATTCTAATAAGCATGATATTACAACTCCAGAAACGAGAGGGCGAGGACAGATGCATTTACCGAAAGGAGAGCCATTTCACTGCCAAATTCCGTACAATCCTTTGTCCCAGAAATGTAAGCTTTCTCTACTCAGACTAACATCCGAGTTTGGCAAAAGCAAACAGCGCGTAGAGCTTGTTTTTGAGACAATGGTCGGCTCTTTTGACTGCTGCAAAAATTCCCATGGCAGTATTCAGAGGGCTAGTTGGCGAGCATACGTTTGCTTTCGAACTTAAATCGGTTTCTCTTAGCACAGACATGTTTCCACTTCTACCCAGTTCCCATATAAATGTACAGACCTGACTGGAATCTATCGAAGGCAAACGTACGCTCGTCAACTGGTCTTCTGAATTGTAGGTTCAATTTGATGGGCCTCCAAGGGCTCTGTTTGGTTAGAAATACCTTTATTTTCAAGTAAATGTGAATTCCCTGACCGAGTTACCTCTGCGTGCACATAGTTAGCTTAGAGCAAATGACTTTTATATGACAGAGGAAGACAAATATTCCGATGGTGAATCAACGTCCGCAATTCACCATACTTTACATTTAATCGCCTTTGAATAAATGCATTTTTGGTTCCGGCTCATTAAGCCGTTCTGGTCCTACAGGATTACTATTTTGTCAATTTTTTCAAGTACACAAAATGCATGCGGTCTCTCTTGGAAGAATCGAAGTAAATGTTTCTAATCTTGGCGGAAAGCGTATTTAATCTGTGGACAAAAGTGGAAGGCAGGACTTTCCTTCAATTTAAATGAGACATGGACGGCATACTTTCATATTTCTATTATCGAACGTGTACCGTTTAATGAACCTAATGGCCTGCCTATGCAGAAGATTCAAGGGTAGCATTCTAGATTGCCTCACAGGCTTAAAACTGAATCTTACCTTCACTTCGGCTCTGTCGAGCTACAGTAGGTAACCTAGATCATGAAAGGTGTCCACATTTATGGATGATTGCCGATCACTCGTAAACTGACACTAATGTATGGATCCAATATCTAAGTAAATTAAGTACAACTTTAAAAGAATCAAAAGCATGAAAGAAATGTTAAAGGCAGCGTTGCCTTGCTCCGAAAAGCCAAATCTTCTAGAAAAGCACGAAGTCCCGAAAACGTCAAAATGGTTGTGATTTAGTAAACTTCGTTTTCGTTTTATGATGAAAAAACTGAGTAAATATGAAAGCGCAAATAAAATAACGTTTAAAAAGTGTTCTAGTGAAGCTTACATCTAAATCTCCTTTAAGAATCGGTGTAATTTCAGGTATGGCGGTTTGCAAACAGCCTACACTTTGAGTTTATATTTCAAAACAGTTTTCTGGGAATTCGTGGTAATATTGACTCGTTTGTTTGATTGAGATGCGATCCAACAAGAGAAACGGGATTGTGCTTGATTTTACCGATGGGGGACGTCGAAGGAGAAAACGTTTTCACAAGGTCACATGCTGTCAGGCCGATCGGTGACTAATACCTTTAAATAGAATTGACAGGCGTAATCATAAACATACCATTATGTGGTGAATAACTGGCGTGGTGTGAATTCCGAGATGATATAATGATAAAGAAAGGGTTCTTCGGAAAATCGAGTTGTACTTGTAACTTCACTTTTATTCGATTTCACTTCCTCCTCTGTTCATTTCGTCTGACGACGGGTTGGTGTCAACGACTTGAAAATTTGCGCGTGCAACTGGATTTTCCAAAGAGCCTTCTCTTTTTCATACAATTACGTGTTTATAAAGAGAACTTTTCCCCCATTACA